ACGCTCTCAAAATGCGGTGCCTGTGTTCAGTCCTCAGACCCCTCAGCAGTGATAGCTCATGCTCCATCTCTTACAAACAGAGACCTACTTCAGAAGTGTAAGTTCTGGTTTTAAATGATTTTTCTGGATCTGCTTTCCTCAAGTTTAAATAGCCTTTTTTTAATTTGCCTTCTGTTACTTGTAGGCACATCTGAACTTGTTTTCTTCCCTCCCCTAGTCTGATTTGTGGCTTTTGAGGCAGATATACTATGAAAGATTTGAATATATTAATAAGGCTTAAAGACACTTTTCATGGTGACCTTTAAAATATCACAAGTGTGAACTAAGTCTAGTCTGGAATGGGGAGAACTTTCAGCTTGAGATTTCAGAATAAATGAAGCACAGCACTTCAGTATGCTTCTCTGCATTGTATTGTGTAAAATAATGTAAGTAGTGAATTAAGGTCTCATCTGCCTCTTTCTGAAAAGCTACTTAGGCAGTTGTGACTGAGTTGATGATTTCACCATTCAAAAGTTTTTCCTGTTCAGCTAAATGATACCTTTTTTTTTTTTTTTTTAAATGTACTGCGTAGCTGTGGGCTGGAGTTTCATTTGGTGTATGCTGCCTAGGAGACTGTGGTGCTTGCAGTCATCAATTGAAATTGTGACATGAAAGAGCCATTGTCTTTGGCAAAGCAGCTGACACTGACTTTTTTTAAGCTGCAATTAATTAAAAGCCAGTTGTGAACTGTTGTCATGTTTGAACAGGATTTTAAGCCACTCATAGGTTATTGAAAGTAAACCCTTCCATTATATCCTGTATTGTATTTATCTTTTGTGACTAAATGAAAGACGTTCACTTTGAGCTAAAGTAACATCCACATTTTGATGGATATTTTATGTCAACAAAGCTGCAGAGGTGGCAGATTGGTATAGCATGGGTAGAATGATAACGGGGTCTGCATGATGGAACTGTTCAGACAAAATTTTGGGAACTGTTGTATTAGTGGAGTGTGTGCACATGTTCAGGACTGGAGCTTGAGCGAACTGGCGTGTCAAAACTTGTCAGAGGGAAGTGCAGAATTGTATGAAAGAAAATATTGTCCTCTTGGGTATGTTGGGAGGAAAACTACATCATTCAATTTTAATTACACCTATTAACACTTCTCAGTATAAAAGGCTTGCTGATGATGCCATTGCTAAGCCTGTTTTTCAGGACTTTGTGTACATTTCCAAGTGAGCTGAGGTTTCAACTTGCTCCATAGGTTCCTATACTGTGATTAAGTAAAAAGATGATGATAAACAACCAAGTATCGCTTGAGCAGTGAATGGCATAACCAAAAAGTGTGTTTAGTTTAAGGGATTCCAGAGCAGATAGCAAAAACAAGTTAATGCCAGGTTTTTATTTCAGGTTTCCATATAGTCAGTTTTAACTCAGGCTGCAATGAGTTTTTTTGTGTTTTCTCACGTCTGTTTTATAATGCTGAAGTCAAGATGAAATGGAACAACAATAGTGAAAATTAGAGATGTGAGTGTGGGTGAAATGGTAACCAATGTTCCTTCTGCTGTAGAAGCGCTAAATTAAAAAAAAAAAAAGGGAGGAGAAAGTGCAGACATTGTGTTAGTGGGTAGCTTAGCAAATATAATTTATATAATGTGTTTGTATACACCTGACAGCATGGAGATGGCCGAAGTAATTAGGAATGGGGGTTTTCACCTTTTTGCAACCTAAGGGCAAAAATTAGCACCGATCAGAACAATGTTAAATTGAATGGCCTGTGGTATTTGAGATTGGCACATCCTGTAGAACATACTGCTGTGTAGGGGTGAAAAGAGAAGCTGCATAATACTTGTATGAATTATGCTGCCTGAAATGCAGAAGAATAGTAGATAATGTAAAGGGGCAGAGTTGGTAAAATTAAGCAGCAGGGGCTGTGTGTCTGACTGAAGCAATCAAAATGTAGTGAATGAGTATAAATAGCTACTTCCTCTTGGTTCTCATAGCAAATGTCTTTCACTTCAAAAGATGAAATATGATGAAATACCAAGTACTGTATGTAAACTAACTTTATGATACTGACATGGATGGGGGTGCTTACAGGTAGAATTAGTGGATAAAACAAAAAAAAACAGTGGTGTGCACATGATCAGTGTCATACACGTAGTGAATTGAAATTTAAAACCACTGGGTGTCTCCTGACAGAATGACTTGCATAGGTGAACTTTGGTAAAGCTTCCTGTGGAAACTGGGTGTCATGTCTTCATTACTTACTGGAAACAGTTTCTTTCCTTTAATCTGAGTCAGGAGGAGAGGACATGCCACTGCAGCATAGCCATGCAACTTGATGTTTCAGCGAATGTCCTGGAATACTTGATCAAGAAGTACCTGGTAACACTGTAAAACCAAGACATAGTTATCAGTCAAAATCTTTAGTCCTGTTTAGGGTGCCACTGGAATCAGTTGTCAAGTTCTGAAGTTCATGTGATTTTTCTGCTGAGCAAAGCCTGGGACTAAGAAAGCATTAGGCAAAGTAGGTCTTCAGACTCCAGGTATCCCAAGTTGGCCAGCTTTACCTAATTTTAAATTTCAGTTCAGAAAGTACTCAGGCTTATCTGTGTTCTGTTATTGTGACTCTTCCTGCAAGGTATTGGTGGAGGTTGTTCAATGTGTTTTAATTTTGGCTAAAACCTGATTATGTCACAAGCTGATTTTAGGAGGCCTGGAATTGCTGATACATCTTGCTTAAAAGGAATGTAGCAAAGTCTTTAAGTGTGCCTAGCCCTTCTCTTTGTATCTTTAAAATGCGTAGCAGGTGTTGGGAAATCCCCTCACTCTTTTTCTGGACTCAGCATTTGAATGCAGCAGAAATTGCACAAATACATGCACCAAGGAGTGCCTGGGCCTCGTTAGAATGGGGGTGGTGAGCTCTAAAAAGAGGTGACAAAAAGTGATGTTGGACCTGACAATTCAGAAACAGTGCTGGATATACATAAGCAAGGTAGTGTAAGTAAATACTGATTAACTAATCTGAAGACAAGTAAACTTGGAGTAAACTGTATGGAAAAGTACCTTCTCTTCTGTGAACATCTGGAAGATGAACGATCCATGTGAGATAGTGGTTGAGGCACTTATATTGGGGTGGGAATGTCACAGTTCGTAGAACTATAGAATCATTTAGGTTGGAAAAGACCTCTAAGATCAAATCCAACTGCCAAGTCTGCCACTAAACCATGTCCCTAAGCATCATGTTGATGTCTTGTTCTGCTGTCTTCATCTATTTGGACAAATTACATTAATAAGCAGTGTCACTTGTTCTGAAATGAGGGGGAGTATTTGTGTGTGTCTTGGGGGAAGTACAATGGTCTATTTTGTCTTAAATCTACATAATACTTTTAAATAGCATGACTCACGGATAATTGAGTGTGTGTATTATGTCAGTGTGTTGTCTGTTTTTTCCCTATGGAATTCGAGCAGGTCAAGATTTGCTTTCACTTCTGCTTGGAAACACTGTGCCCTAGGTTTAGAGATCCTTGCCCTTTCCTTTTGTTAATGTGTCCATAATGCACAAGTGTATATGTCCTTTATTGCTGTTTGATATTTGACACTGTTTTCTTTTTTACACTTTCTGAAAGTACTAAATATGGTATCTGGCTAAGGCTTCCTTTGAAAAATGAGACAATGCCAATGACTAGGGAGGGGGAAAAAATTAAGTAGTAGTTCCGATTTATGAGAGCGTAATGCTGTTGATCAGTAGAAAGTAAGGACTTTCAGAATATCTTAGAGTGCAATTTACTTGACTGTCACATGAGAATAGCATTTTTTCTTGTGTGTTTTTTTTTTTTGAAAACTAGTTGGTTTACTATATTAAGGGCTTAAAACACGAGCAACCTCATCTGCAGATGTCTAGATTACTTGAATGTAAGATGCTGTCTTTTTAATAAGCAACTTTCTGAATTTCTTTTATTTAGATTTTGTCTTTAGAATCCCGTGTTCTTCTGCAATTTGTATTTTATGAAGCCTGGCAATCAGCCCAGGTGCTGCTATATCTTCCTTTCCCAATAGAGAGGGCTCATTTTGTTCCTGGTAACTTAAACTCTTGAAAAGCTAGTTCTCCTCCACCATAGTCCTCTGAAAGCTCTGATTTATAAGGAAGCAGAAGATGTAGCTATTTTGTTTCCTTGATAGCAAAGTGAGCTGAAATTCTCAGATGCACTGCTTTTTCAACTGAGTTACTGTAAAAAGTTGAGTGGCTGGACCAATTCTTGTAAAAGATTCAAATATGAAAAAACACCTGCTCTCCAAGTACCATGGATTTCTACTTCCCCTTCTCCAGATATTTCTTACAACAGCTTTGCTGTCAAAACAAGTTACGTTGTGTTAAGCAGACCCTTAGTGAAACCCTAACTCAATTTAAGAATAGATTACACAGTAATTACTTCTACCATTTGTATGGATGTTCGTTAGTTTTTTTGCAGTAACACCTTGGATGCGTGAGATGAGGTCATTAAACATGTAAGTGTGGGAGGGAAGAAAGTCCTGAAACATTCTGTGTCTTCTCATTAGTGCCCAACACCTAAAAAATACTAATTTTTGTTTAAATATGAAGCCATTGACTTGTATATTACCTGTGTAAACCACCTCTAAGGTCAGGTGTTATTTTACTAGAATAAAAAGCTAAGCAATAGAATATAGTGCAAATGGTTTTGTTCCTTAATCATTGCTTGGATGGGGTAGTGTTTAGGAATTGCCTTTGAGCAATGGTTGCCTAGAATGGTGGATTGGATCCTGTGTCTGTTTTTCCCTGGATGGACCCCAAATCTACAAATGGCTTTGTTCCTGTAGTTTATTTACTGCATAAACTGATCACAGCATTTAAGTTGTATTGAATTACTTTATTTATTTGACCCCTTGTTTTATTGGCATATTTTGTTGTAGGTGAAAGATTGAAGTCAAGAATCCAATATAATTTTAGTTGTCTTGATAATTTAATCTTAATTTGCTTAAATATCTTGTGTACGCAGTGAGGAGCTAGGAGAATTCATGGAGATGAAAGGTGCCAACAGCCCTGGGATCCTTGTACTGACCACAGGCCTCAGCAAACCTTTTATGCGTCTGGATAAATACCCCACGTTACTCAAAGAACTTGAAAGGCACATGGAGGTATATCTTATCAGCATTTATGTTCCAGCTTAATGATGATTTGACAACAATTATTTTAAAGGTACATGTCAAACATGATGGGACCCAAAACTACATTTGTTTGCTCTTCCGTCAGCCTTCTAAAGTACAGGCTGCAATGGTTTATTTAAGACTCAGTGCAGTGAAACTTCCTGTAAAAACTAAACATTTAAAGTAAAACTGTCCAGAGAAGCTAATCATCACTCTTAGAACAGTCTTATCGGGGTCTTTAGTTGGCTTGGCATCGAATGTGTCTCCTGCATACTACTTGAGGCCACTTTATCTTGTAGAAGGAGTGCTGCTTCTCACCTCAGCATGTCGAACACATCACCAAAATAGTCCCTTTGACTCCTACTCACCACGGTCCAAAAGTGATTCTTACAGTACGGAAAGATATTCGAGGAGCTACTGTTTTCGCCTTTGCATTTTGTAGGTTAGGTGTTTGGAGTGTGAACAAAGGAGAGAAATAGAAGGCATATGGGTGTTGTCACACAACTTGGTTTGTCAGTCAGTGACAATGGAACATGCTAGTTAGTCTGTAAGGAATCATGTTTGTGACAAAGCTAACATGCCAAATAAAACTCTCCTCTTAGGATTTCAAAATCTCTTATCCCCTAGGTCTTGTAAAACTTCTGTGGCTCTATTTAAAGTATAAGTAGGAATGTGACAAATAACTGCAGTTTTACTAGAAGCAACACCCACCAGTCTTTGATATAAGGTGGCCACGAAAAGAGAGCAGATCAGTCTACAAATTCAATTTTGCAGAATTGTTTATTTGTTTGTCGTTCAGCCTCTAACATTTTTTTAATTAATTGTACTAGAACTAAACTTTTTATGTATGTTTTCTCCATTGGTTTTAGGATTATCATCCGGATCGTCCAGATATTCAAAAATCCATGACTGCCTTCAAAAATCTTTCTGTAAGAGTCATAAAAGACTAGATTATCTATTTTAAGTAGAATATTTTCTAATTTTATCTCCCTCTATTGCTTAAAAATGTGATGCTTTTTTGTAACTGTTTGTATAGTAAATTTTTGAAAGCCTGGAAGTTGATGCTGTTTGTAGGCAGAGCTAAGAATAGTAATTTAGGATGGGGAGTTACAGCAAATAGATTGTTGATGTCAGAGTTGCGCAAAGCATTCTGCACCTCTGTCTGCTCTCTCATCGTGCTTCATTTCCTTTTCTACCAGTGCTAACATAAGTAGTGACCTGAAGAAGGGCTTTGTTAAACAAAGGAGTACGTTTTCTGATGTTTTTTAAGTGCATTCCTTCTCAGGTAATGGTGTTGGAGCTGGGGGAGAGAGGATGAAGAGGAAAGTGCTAGTGAAGTTCAGAAGATGCAAAACTTCCAGTAATAATTGGAACATTGTAAGCCTAATTGGAACAGATAAGCTGTCTGTTACTGTCTTTACAAAAGAAACCAAAACCCACACCTCAACTGCAACAAGCATATAATTAATGCAGTCTGAGTTAAAATGAACTTAATGTTTTATGCTTCCTGTTAGGAATGTGTGCTGATGGTAACCTGGCATTTTCTATTTTTTATTTTTTTAATCAGAAATTTAGTGTTATCAGTGTTCAGAAGAGGTTTGTGGATTCCATCCTGTTGGGTGCTATACAAACAAGAGGAAACAATTCTTGTTGAGAAAAATTCAAATTAATAGAAGCAGGTTGGAGACACTTGATAAAAATAGGAACACCAGGTTATATGCACTCGTTTGCACAGGTGGCATGTGTCTTTTTACTGAAGAAAGAGGCTTTCTTGTATAGACGTGTATTTCTGACAGCTGTGTTACTCTCTTCTGCTGAGCATATTTGGACATACGAAAATTTGAAATATAAAGAAAGGAGAAATTTGAGAAACAGAACTATGACTGAATTTGGAACGGTAATTGAAGTCAGTGTATTGAAAAGTAAAATATTTAAGTTAGCAAAACTAGTTTATAAAAAATATTGGTAATAGTCATCTAAATGAAAATGCTTGAAGTAAGGTGCTGTCTTCTGTGTACCAGAAGCACAACAATAAATACAACTGTAGTGGTATTTCTATCCTTAACCCATTCCAAATTGATGGAGTTAATAGAAGTGGTATTTTTCCCTATGTTTGTTAGGCGCAATGTCAAGAAGTACGGAAACGGAAAGAACTTGAACTGCAAATACTGACAGAAGCTATCCGTTGTTGGGAGGGAGAGGATATTAAAACACTTGGCAGTGTGATTTACATGTCCCAGGTCATGATTCAGTGTGCTGGAAGTGAGGTAACATCCTTCTCATCTTCACTGCTGGTCTTTCCATTTTGAATAAAGTTCATTATAATCATTATGCAACAGAAATAAACAGAATGCTTCAGAGATGCTAATCTAAGTTAAAATCTGTCTCTGTTGATTTAAAGCCTTTTTTTCAAAATCTGTAAAAAAAATTTCCTCAAAGACGGATGCTTTCATCTGTAAAATTTATTGAAAAGTGACCGAATACAGCAGTTATAAACATTGTAAGATGATTTTTGCAGGACTGTTTTGAATGTGCATAATTAAACAGGATTTTTCATGTGTAGTTATGTTACAGGATCATTTTGCATAGCAGTTACCGCAGTGTGTTTTAAATAGCAAATGCATTCAAGTTTTATGTTGTAAAGTGTCTGGGGCACACGTTTCTTCCTGTTTTGGGCACATTGCTCGAGTAGTAAATTTTGAAATGGAAGCTTGAGATATTCTGTGATTCAGAAATGGAATAAGATGATACATTAGAAAGTTGAAAGTGTCAAAAGTCTGGGGTGATTTTTTTTTTTTTTTAACCAAAGAAACAAACAAAACACACAAAGAAAAGCTTGTACTTCTATTTTACCCATGTTAAAATAATCTTAAAAGCAAGTGTTAACAGAAAGGAAATGTTATACGAGTTACTGACATGTTTTTACTGCTTGTTGTTCCCCTGAAAAATTAATGAAGCTTTGAACCTGGTGGGGGCTTTTGAATTGCAACCTCATTCAGTCAGCTTCCTGCCTTGGAACAAAGATGTCCATAAATATGAAGACAAAGAAAAATGTTTATGCAACTGAATATTTAAAAGTTAGTCACTTGATATTTTTCTCTCAGATATTTAGTTAGGTGTTAAAGTAAATAAATAAGATTCAGTAGAGCTGATAGTGCATCTTCTGCAGTCATGTCTCTTTTTGAAGTCTTCAAAACAAAACAAATCATCACCCCCCACTCTCATTATGAGATAAAATGTCAAACGGAAGGGAATTCTAGAAGTTTGTACATAGCGCTACATCTTTTTGGCTAGATACAGAACAGCTTCATTTGTGCAACAGCAATGGGATTTGGTTTTCTCTTTTTGAAAATGATACAGACCTTTGTAAATGTTTACTGAAGAACAGGAATGTTAAAACTTTCTAAGGACTTGTATTTTTGCAAAGATGCTGGAAATTAAGACAGTGGCTTTGTCAATGGATGTATTTGTTCTGTCATAATATTTTAATTTAGTGCTTCTCTGTTTTGTTGTCTGTAGCAGTAGATTAAGAGTACACTTACTGTTCCTTCCATAAAAATACCCCAAAACAAGACCACAATGGACAATTCCATACATGAAACCATGAAATTAAAATCAGACCAAAATAATGAGTGCTTTTCTTCTGACTACAGAAATTATTGATTTGCCTTTAGTACTTTGGGGCATAATCCAATATTTAAAAATCTGATCTCTCCAATTTGAGAGACCACAGTCTTGATAATATTGTAACAACATCCATCTAAATTATATTAAGAAATATATCCAATGTGTAATTTTGTTTTTGCTGAAATTGGCCAAACAGTGATTGTCATATTAAACAAGGTCAGTATTTCACCCAGACTGTAAAATTTTTGTTTTAAAATATTAGGTTGTACTCTCCAGGATGCAGTATAGGCATGTGTTAGTAGCACTTTTCAAGTAGAAAATAAATAATTCTGTCTTCTTTCCTTTCTTTTCTTTTATTTTTTTGATTTCCATGGAGAGTTAATTTTGCAGCAAGCAAATATTTGCAGAGTAATCGTGGAGTTGTAATGTTGATAGTTTTTAATAATATAAAATGGAAAAAGGGGGGAGGGGACTTGTGATGTTGTATTTACTTTTTCATTTTCTTCTTTTAACAAGGAAAAGAATGAAAGGTATCTTCTTCTCTTCCCTAACATTTTGCTAATGTTGTCTGCCAGCCCAAGAATGAGTGGGTTTATCTATCAGGTAAAGTAATGCATGTACCTATGTGTATAAATGTGCCGGGGGGTGTGTTTTTTCCAAATCATATTTCATAGAAAACTTGGAAAGATTATTAAACTTCTGCATTTATAAAGGTAAAAGGTAAAATTCCGGCCTATGAGGCCAGGTTGTTTTTGTTGGGTTTTTTTTTTTTTTTTTTTTTGCAGCTGTGACTATCCACAAGGAGGGTTTTTTTACCTTGTTAGTAGTTGCTAATGAGAGGAAGTATTGGTAGCTTTTTAGATCTACACAGAAAAAGTGTGCTGTTGCATAGGTTTGTTAGTGTTCTTTGACTGCTGCTTAAGTCTTAACAAAATTCTTTTTAAGCTTTCCTTGATATGTGTTGGGCTTTTACCATCAGTTTGTTTATATGGAGCTACATCAGTTTTTTATCTTTGAATCAGCAGAACACTTTTAAAATTAATCTTTTAGTTTTTTCTATTTAATGATTGTTGAGACACAGTGTAGAAGTTGTTTTGGGGCTCGCAGACTAGATTCCCTCTGGATGAAGCTGAACTGGAAGGTACACTCCAAAAATGCACTTGATCTACTCTGACTATTGGAGAAGATTAAGTATATGGGCTGACATTCAGTCCCTAGCCCCAGCCTAGGGCTAGCCCAGCGTAACACCACCAGAAATGCGTACGATGTGGCTTTTGGGACCTTAGCACTGGGTGTTTCCCTCCACAAATCCTCTGCTCACCACTGGTAGAGACAGTCTTGGAGCTCCTCTACCAAGTTTCTTTTCTGAATACTTGTGGCTGTTGCCCCACAGGCCTGTTCCAGAGATGGAACAACTCTGCTTTAGTGCAGGAAGATGAATGGTGTTTGGATTGGCTCCCCTGTAGCTCTAGGGCATGTTTCGCAGAAGCACTTTTCATTTTGGATGTGTAGTTCCAAAGACTCCCAAGAGGCAAATGCACAGTCCATGACTTTCTGAAATCTGTATAAATGTTCTTCAAGTATTGCCATGCAGGTTTGAGGCATCACAGTAAAGCACCAAAAGCAAGGGAAAAACTGCAACAAAGTTCTAAAGAGATTTCACCTGCTAGAAGTGCTTCTGTAAATCAGGCACTTGAGCAGTTTATTCCTTTCTCCTGATTTGCCTGCTTTGAAGAAATGCTGAAGCTTAGTCATTCGGTGTTCCTGTGTTACCAACCAGAGTCAGTCACAAAATGTGACTTCTTTTTTTTTTTTTTATTAAGAGCTAATAAATTCCAAAATTTATGTTTGGATTCATACCTTACCTGCCACGGTAGTAGCTGTATTTGTCAGAAATGGTGTTGCCTTAGGTAGTTCAAGTGGACAGTCAAGTTTGTTAGCTTTGTGCTGCTTCTGATTGTTCCAATGTTGGAGGTCCTAGAAAAGGCAGGTTCCAAGTGGCACATTCAGAATTTCTGATGTAGGTAGATTCTCGTGTACTGATTAAAAAGGCAACTGACTGGGAGTTTAGTGTGTTAAAAAGCAGTATGAAGTTAAACAATCTGTGAGGTTTTATTTTGCCTTTCCTACTGTATGTCACATTTCTTCCTCCTTCCTCCCAGTTTATCCTCTAGGTACACGTCATTGTTCAGGAAATAAGAAAATAAGCAATTTTCTGTGCATTTGCCTTCAGCTTCTAATCAGAATGGCCACAGCCCCTTCTTAGAGTTCATCATCCAACCCTCCATTGAATGCAAATCTCTAATTTCCTCATAGCTTCTTGTATGATTTTCTTATCACTGAGCATGTCTCAAATTTGAATGACTACATATTAACAGCAAGGTAAAATTATTTTCAGCACTGTTTGTGTCTGAGATGGTGGCTCAGAGCCACATCTGGATTGCATAATGTGGGCCTCCTGGACATTTTTTCTGAGGTTCATGCTTCAGAACTCAGATAGATATGGACAGAAGATGATGCAGTTCCCTTAGTCATTCCCACAGAAATTATGCCACTGGAGGCTGCATCCTTCATTACACCCTCCCTGCATTTCTGAATAGTCCAGTTGTCAACAGGCTTCAAATTATCTGGTTGATAGTGCTGATATCTGCCACGAGCAAATGGGGAGAACTTTTAGCAGTGGTAAACTGAAGTCACAAGGAGCCCATACTTCACAGGGGGACTACACGATTGTTTGTTGAAGGAAGGGGAATATAAATGTTTTACGAGTTCAGTTCCATTTTTCTCTGTGTTTTGCTGGCTGTACCTTTTCCTGCCATGTGGTTCAGGTGATCTTTGTCACCAGTCTTTTACTTAGTGTACCCCCCATATTCCCTTCCCACCTATGTCACCAGTTCTTGCACATCTCTCTGTTGTGGTTGTATGCTGTGTTATTCATGAACCAGCACACAGGGAAAAACAGGGAGAAGAGCAAATTTTAGCTGCATTGTAAGTGCACATGTCCACCACATTTCCTTCGGTGGGGAAGCTGTTGCAAGAGAACTCTTCCTTTCTCTTTGGTATCTTGGGCTTGAGCATGTTCTGTGCATACAGAATACCAAGTGATTTTTCATTTCCAAGCTTGTAAGAAACCTTTGTCCATTCTACAGTCATTAGGAAAGAAGAACGAATAAAGTCGATTTTTATTCTTTTCTCTTGTTGGAGCCAAAATTCCACAGTATATAGTATTTGCTCTTTTGCCAGCATTTGTTGAATAGTGTTTCTGTGCAGGAGAATACAGGATCTTAAAGAACTTTTATTGAAGTTGCAGTTTTGGTAAAGCCTTTCATCCTGAAAATATTCAATCTTATTTATTGTTCTGTGTTTTTAAAGGGTCAAAAAGTTATCCTAAACTGACTTTTTTTTCCTGCTTGACTGGGTTTAAAATGAGATCTTCTGCAAATTAGTATGTTCTTCTGAACAGAGATTACAGATTTGAAGACATTCACTGCTTTTCACTCCCCCCCAGTATTTCTGTGAGTGAATTTAGTAGTGGCATTATTAGAGAAATAAATATTCAGTAAATAATTGATGCATTTGTTTAGTGGAATCTTCCTTTATAAATATACTTGTTCCACAGACCTTATTTTGAGAGCTAATCAAACAGTTTACAAACAAATGTGCTTAAAGAAAGTCACCATTGCCTCTAATCATGTAACATGGATGACCCTGAAGGTCTCAGTTTCAAGAACCTGAGGGTATGAGGAGTGATCACTATTACGTTTATATGGATTTCATAGCCTGCATAGGTACCAACTATTCTTATTGAAGTCATAGATGTCATTTGCAGAAATTTGACATATGAAAAACTTCTGAGATGTTTGTGTTGTTTTAAATGTTTTTAAACCCATCAATGTGTGTGTGTTTGTCAATTTACTATGAATGTTATTGTTCAGAGCTTAAAGTTAGTATTTTCTTTATTTGGTAATGTTTTTGTGTGGTTTGGATTTAACTTCAGTGTTACTGCCCTTTTCTTTAAGGGAAAACTGCCCATGACTGGAATGACTATTACAAAGCTAGAAGACAGTGAAAACCATAAAAATGCATTTGAAATATCAGGTATTGCCCATTAATATTTTTATTTACTACTTATTTTAGGATACACTATTTCAGACATCAGATGCTCTGTCTGGACAGAGGAAAAAACTTTTTTGCTGTGAGGGTGACCAAGCACTGGCACAGGGTGCCTGGAGAGATTTCCTTCCTTGGGGTACTCTGAAGCCATGATCCCAGGCAACCGTCTCTAGGTGTCTGTGCTTGAGCAGAGGGGAGGATGACCTACAGAGGTCCCTTACAGCCTCAGCCATCCTGTGATTATGCAAATTTTGTAAGGCTGCTACCCAGAGCCTCACTTGAAGACTGCTTTTTACTGCTTGTCTTAAGTAGTTAGGGAGCTGTCTTTGCATGGGATTCATCCAGGAATTTCTGTATCTCAATGAATGGAGGCAGTGGCCTTGGAGAAGGTCCTTTATAGCAAAGCAGTTTACAGTATGCTGTTCACTGGAAGAACAGGAGTTCTAGAGACTCTGGAAAAGCTTTGAGCAAGAGCTTTCTTCTAGAAATGGTCCACCTCTTTCCTGAGAGACCTTTAGCATCTCTAATACTAATGATGATTGCTGTTGTATTTTGAATAATTTCTGTCTGTTAAGTCATTTGTTTCATCATATATCATATGTCCTTAGGCAATTTAAAGGACAGTGGGAGCAGGGTCCACAGGGTGGAGCTTCATACCTTCATTTATTTCCTGGATTAGTTCTGCTCTAAGCAGGTTGCATTAAAGTAAAATGATTTTGACCCTCTCAAGTGGTTGACAGTACCATATCAATGCTATGAGACACAGAGGAAAAAAAAACCTGTTGATGGTGTGTGTTTTTCTGAGATGATGCTATGGAGCTGACCTCAAGAGGAATGTGATGGATTAAATGGAGTTAATTGCAGAAATTAATTTTTGATTAAGATTGCATTCCCAAATGACTTTTCCTCAACTTTAATACTGGATTCAGACCAGTTTTATGTTGCCTTCTGAGAGACCAGTGAACTTTGTTTTATAACTTTTCCTGTATTGTAGCATACGGACTCAAGAATGACTTTTTGGGATATATGCTGGCTTTCCTGGGAAGAGTGTAAAGCTACTAGATGAGCTTGTCTCCTACATCTATTTCTTGACATTAAGATTGTGCCTAATTACTAGATCTATGGAAAGAAATGGAACTCCTGTGCTTGGCTAAGAATAACTACATGGAGGTGATGTCTGTGATGCCTGTCTTAAGGCAACATTTGTTACAGCCTGGAAAAGTGGGATGCTGTTGTACTGAAAATAGAAGTTAAAATTTTTTGCTTACTACTTAGAGGATATAAAGTTTTAGGAAATGAGTGTCTTTTATAATTATGTTGCATTGACTAAGTTGTTCTTCTGTGATTTCCTATATGTTCTGGTATCTTTTCACCTAGGAAACATGATTGAAAGGATACTAGTTTCTTGTAACAACCAACAAGATTTACATGAATGGGTGGATCACCTGCAGAGGCAAACCAAAGTCACAACTGTTGGGAATCCCACCATTAAACCTCACTCTGTGCCATCTCACACGGTAAGGAAGAGCTTCTGGATTGAAGTGAATGAGCAGAATTAAGTTGTCTGGCAAATATACCACAAAGGGGAAAGCATTACTTCTTTTAGCCATTAGTAACAAGAACTGAATGTTGTGACTGTCGTTTAATGGGTCAAAAGATCATTCTGTTTTTAATTGTGGGAACAAAAAATGCTTAGATCTTGGTGTAATAGTTTAACTGGGTAAAAGAAAATTAGTTATCATTACTTTTTATATTTTGACCAAGTAATACATCACCGTCTTTTAAGTATACTTAGAATAGCAGGTTTTAATTGGTGATGTATTTGACAGGCTGTGGAGAAACAATTTACTGAAGTAATTTCTTTTGAGTTCTGCATTTGAATTGTTGGATATGAATGGATCTAAATTTAGCTCTGTCCTCAGTGGAGACAGAAGTAGGAGCAGGGCTGCTCGTAGCTATTCTTTCTTTAGTGTTTGCTCTGTGGTAGACAATAAAAATTATTTAAGCCCCATTTTTTTCAAAGAATTTAGTGTAAAAAAATTTTCAGAGGCCAGCTGTAATAAACAGAAGTACTAGATAGCAAGTGAGATTGTTTCACCAGTCCTTGATGATACTATGTCTTCGTTATCATAATATGCTTTCTTTCCTTTCCCATCATGTTTGACAGCTTCCTTCCCATCCAGTAACACCCTCCAGTAAGCATTCAGACAGCAAGCCAATACCACTGACTCCTGCGTACCACACTCTCCCTCATCCATCACATCATGGGACTCCACATACCACGATAAACTGGGGACCACTGGAACCTCCGAAAACCCCCAAGCCTTGGAGTCTGAGCTGCTTACGGCCCGCACCGCCACTACGGCCTTCAGCAGCTCTTTGTTATAAAGAGGTGAGATGCAGCGGCCAAGAAGTAGGACTCTGTAGCAGGCCTACAATGGGAAGTTTTAACTTCTTTCACACACCACCATTTTATGATTTTGTGCATGTTTTTGTATAATATAAAGATGATTTGACAGCCAATGCTGAATCAAAGGTAACGTACCAGTGCTGTTTATTTCAAAGAGGAATTTAGTCTTACGGTTCAGAAGATACGAAGGCTTATTTTGTTTTGTTTTTAAACTAACAGTTAATTTATTATGTTGGTCATCCAGGCTTATTGCAATTTAAGTTATTTTCTAAGGACACTGCAAAGTGCTTAGGGTAAGGGATCCTTACTGCTTCCAAGTGCTGTACCAAATCATTCCAAAGAGCTGTGGTGGTATGGTTGACTCTTGGTTTCTCATATTTACAACTGTTACTAGGTAACAATAGAATATTTTTTAAAAAGAAGACTGGTAACTGTCAAAATATATGTAATGTTCCTGTACTCAAAAGAATCTAATGACTAATGTTACTGTTAGCTGGAAAAAAAACTTAGATTTTAAGATGCTGTTTTATTTTTTTAAGTAGCACGTAGTATGAGAGAGGAAGCTGTTCCAAAAGCTAGGAGTGTGTTTAGCCACATGGTAGGTTAATTTGGTCTTTCCACTACATTTTGCGTGGTTTTGTCAAGAATAAGAAAACTTCAGATTTATGTTGAAAGTTTGCATGTATATAAGAATATTGCATGCTCTCTAGCCTGGTGGTATCTCTTGTTTCAGTGTTTTTATCGTGCATTCTTATTATACTAGTTTAGTGTAGAGCAACAGGGCCCAGAAAGTATCATGCACTTATGCCTAAGAACATTTTATTCTGCAAGTATGAGATGTTGACAGCAAAATTTTATTTTGCAGATATCTGAATTTCAGATTCTTAGAAACTGTAGCCTAAACACTGTGTTCCAGCGAGGCCTGGCTGTGTTGTTGTTATTGTGGGGTTTGGTTTTGGTTTTTTGTTTTGTTTGTTTGTGGCTTTTTGTTTTGTTTGTTTGTTTGCTTTTGTTTTGTGATCGCTGTGTGTGACACTTCCATTTTCTTTTGTAAATCCCCTAAACAATAAGGAAAAAGTGATAAAGTGATCTGCAGTGCAAGATTAGTATTGCGGCTTGGTTGCTACAAGAGGTTCTTCTGTTCGGCTGTATTAGTTTGGCTGTACTGTGTGCTCATTTTATTTAAGTTAAAATACTTTCATGCTTTCATGTGTAGGCCACTAAATTATCTGATGTATTAAAATTTTATCATCTTTACAGTATTTAGCATACAATGATGCTCAAAACCTATCCTCATTTTCTTTGATCTGTCCTGATCATTCACCTTTTGCTTTCCTGTTCTTTATTTTCATAGAAGATGTCTTGGGTCCTTAGGGTAAGGGATAGACCAGCATATTCCTTTTGTTCCTGAATCCTAGCATTGTTCCTGTAAATTAGCATAACCACATTTTGAGCAGAAATGCTGCTGGGGTTTGTTGGTTGGTTGGTTGGGTTGGGTTTTCATTCTTTTGCTTTTTGGTTTTTTTTGCTGTAGGGCTTTGTAAGAACAGACCTAAACTTTTACAAATTTTTGCTTTGAAGAGTATAATACCTGCCAAGCTTCCTTGTTAGGTCAATTTTTACCTGCTTCTAAGTAGACAAGTGAAATGAATCAAGTCTCTTCAATAGTTCAGGAAAAAAATCTGTGTTAATGTATTCCTGCCTCTTCCCTTCACTCTAGCTCCCAAACAGCCTGTGTGCTTTTGCAGCAGGTTTTCTGTATATTTCTGTTATTAGAACATATAAAATACCTGACTTTGTGTATAGTTGGAGGAAGGGTAGAGTGGAAATCAGCCAATTCAGGCAACTTGAAGGTGGAAAAAAATATTAGAAAACTTCGTTTTGGTGCTGTTAAAAGGTTTTTTAGTTAGTAACTTCTGTATGCATCTTAGAAGTTAAACTTTTGAAATATTGTATAGAAGCTCTACTCTTTTTATTTTTCCCCATACAGGATCTCAGTAAAAGCCCTAAAACCATGAAAAAGCTGCTTCCCAAGCGCAAGCCAGAACGGAAGCCATCAGATGAAGAGTTTGCTCTGAGAAAAAGTAAGAGAGATTTGAACAAATGTCTGCATAATACAAGTGCTGGAATTAACATCAGTTCAAATTCTGTGAAAGTTAGGTGTACAGTGTAAGCAAGTCATCTAATTTCCTCTCTCGTGTCAGGGGGGAGGGGTACGTATCTCCAGAGGATAGTTTGTTTCATTCATTTTAGGTGCTTATGCTACAATGGCATTAGTTATTTTCTAGTGCTTTACTGAACGCACCTATCTCGTGTTGGCCTTTTTAGCCACCAACGTGCATGCAACAAACGTGGGTAGAGCCCTTCCCAAATCTTTGTTCACAAAGCCTAGCCATGATGATGACTGATTAGGATCCACTGATACAGTGGATGTATGCTTGTGAAGTGCCTATTTCTACCTGTTTATTAGCGGGAAGTGAGGTTGAAGGTAGAGCCATGTAAAGTTCAGTAAGGTAAACCTGACTTTTAATACTGTAAACAACAGTTTGAAGATTCTGTACCACTCTTGCAGAATACTTTGTAGCTACGTTCTTAAATTGATCCTGGTAGGAGCTTCTACTGAGCTTGGTTTTGGAAGGCTGGTTATTGCTTCTGAATCAGAGATGAGTTGCTTCCATGGTCACTTCTCAGATCCAACAGTCTTTTCTAACCTTCTATAAATAAGGTAATTTGCTCGTCTGTAGCTAAAGAAATTGCAGAGCTTTAGACTGCTTGAAGTCAGAAGAACAACACTGAACTGAGAGACTGTGGTGAATGTACAGAAAAAGAGAAGGGTCAAAATCTGGATGCTTGGATATTTTGGAGTGGAGAGAACATTGCAGGGCTGGAAGAGATACTAAGCAAGTTTGCAGGCAACAGAAAACTCAGAGCTGTTGACTCCTTCAAAGGCATGGAGGTCCTGCAGAGAGACCTCAACAAATTAGAGGACTTTGCAATCACCAACCATATGAAGTTCAACGAGGGGAGGTGCCAGATTCTGCATCTGGGGTGCGGCAACCTCGGATGTAGGTACAGACTGGGGAGTGAGATGCTGGAAAGCAGTACCATAGAAAGGGACCTGAGGATCCTGGTCAATGACAAATTGAATATAAGTCAGCAGTGCTCTGGCAGCCAGGAGGGCCAACCCTGTCCTGGGGAGGCATCAGGCAAAGCATCACCAGCCGGTTGAGGGAGGGGATTGTCCCTCTCTGCTCTGCACTGATGTGGCCTCACCTTGAACATTGTGTGCAGTTTTGGGCACTGTAATATAGGAAAGATATTAAGCTGTTAGACAGTGTCCAAAGAGGGGCAACAAAGATGGTGAAGGGCCTTGAGGGGAAGCCGTATGAGGAGTGGCTGAGGTCATTGGTCTATTCAACCTGGAGAAGAGGAGACTGAGGAGAGACCTCATTGCAGTCTGCAATTTCCTTGTGAGAGAGAGAGAGGGGCAGGCACTGATCTCTTCCCTCTGGTGACCAGTGACAAGACCTGAAGGAATGGCCTGAAGTTGTGTCAGGGCAGGTTTCTGTTGGATATTAGAAAAAGATTCTTCACCCAGAGGGTGGTTGGGCACTGGAACATGTTCCCCAGGGAAGTGGTCACAGCACCAAGCCTGACAGAGTTCAATAAGTGTTTGGACAGTACTCTCACGTACGTGGTGACTCTTGGGAATGATCCTGTGCAGGGCTAGGAGTTGGACTTGATGATCCTGATGGGTCCCTTCCAACTTAGTATATTCTGGGATTAATGTTATCAAGCAAACATGGTGTCCACTTAGTTGTCAGTGACACCACTGTAATTCTTGCGTAGAAATTTGTGTGATTGAATAATCCAATTACTTGTATCAGTCAAAGACAGGGTATTTTGTTGGCCAGATCTTTACTGTAGCTTTTGCTTCTTTGTCCTTTGCTCATGTGCTTTTTAAGACAGAGTTGTGCCTTGAGTATTGGGTTCATGAATTGTCTTATGGTGACAAGTGTCTCTTACTGGCTTATGGAGAGTTGGAGAGTGAAAGGTTTTCCTCAGGACACTGTTGGTTTGTCTAAGGTGTTAGTCTTTCTGAATGTGCTTTGAATTTCATATGGTAAAGGTTATGGTACTGAATAGAATGATCCTCTTCGTGGATGTGCAAGTGGCTGTTTTAGTTTGGGATGTTTTATCCTTAAAGGAAAGTATCTGTTTAGGAAAAAATGAAAGTACTATAGTACAGTATCGTTTCAGATGTTGGAGAATGGAGATTCAGTAGTTGTAATGATAGGTAAAGCTGTCAACTTGCTGATTTAGCAATTATTAAAGAACACAGTGGGAGGAGTTAGGAGTTCTTATTTGGGGGAAGGAGGGAATCTGTAGCTTGCAAATATATTGTTCTACTCCTAATTAAATTAATACAGTATTTTGTATGTAGGAGGTAACTTTCAATAAAAGGTATTCTTTGACTTAAAGGTAGCTTTAACTCCAAGAGTGTTACTTACAAAAATCCTTATGGATTCCTAGTAATTAGAAGCTTCTGCTAGTGCTCATTCAGCTTTTTCAACTTTTTTGTGGAGCTGTAAAAGTTTTTCATGGAGGAACTTCCATTGAACTTAAAGCATACTGATAGATAGTTTTGGGTTTTATTACTTATCTTTTCTGGAATCTGAGGGATTTATAGCCTATGTTTTGAGAACTGCTGTGTCAAATTAGCGTTATAACAGACAAAACAAAAGAAGTAAGGTGTTCCAATTGAGTGCCTCACAATCCACATTTCAGAAGTGAAATATTTGTCCTGCTACTGTAATAATCGTAATAATACTGCTGCATTCTAACTACAAAATCCAATTATTTTTCCTGCCTAAAAGAGGAATAGCCTATACTTTGGACTACCAGCATCTCTTAAACTCTAGGAAAATTATATCAGGTCAAGATAATTTCTTCAGAAGTTTCCTTGACAGCTAATCCTGACAAATGTTTGGACAGTTGGCTTTGGTCTGGTGGTAACAAATCACAAAAACTAACAGGATGCATTGGCTGGCAGAGAACATTTTGATGTTGAAGGTCGTTCAGATTCATGTAGCAGAAAATGTTCAAACCTAGCTTTTTCAAGAAGATAAACAGGAAAAATGCTTTTAAAACAACAGATTGTCTTGCCTTGCTCATAGACTTCTGGTTCCATTTAAACTAATGGCAGAGGTACCTGTAGATTTCAGATTGATTGGATTTTCACTCTGTTGCAAGTGACAGTATTTTTACTGACTTGCCCCAGGAGAAGATTTGGTGTGGAGCTCTACCATTAGGAAAATTTTGCCATGTTAAGCTTGAATAGTTAGATATTTTTCAGTAGTGCTGGTTCTATGTTGAAGTGTGATAAGTTTAATTACTTTACTTTGCACAGATATATGATAGTGGCATCTTTCCTGCTGCACGCTGAACTGTAATTGTACTGAAATTATGCTGTTAATTCTGAGTTTCATTTTCAATAATGTGTACTGTTGAAAGGGATAAATATATATATATATTCACACAAACCCCAGAAGTTTTCAATATGTCTTCTGTGAATTAATACTCTGTTCCTTGATTTCTTTGATTAAATAATAAAGTAATATGCAGATGAAATTGTATGCATATATAATAACTAGAGTATACAGGGTTTTTTCAGTGTAGCGACTGTTTTAGAACCAGAGTGTTTATACTTCAAAACCTGTTCTGTGCAATTTCAGATGCTCAGAAAATTTCTTGAATGTGAGGGTGATTACTCTTACTTGATTTTTTTCTAAGCATTTCAAAATAGAATTTGTCTTTTAAGAGTGTTACTTTAGTTTGTTGAGGTTTAGTTAAAATCGTATGATTAAGAGAATTTTCACGGGTTGATTAGGCTGAACTTTGGACTCAGCTGAAATGTAGTGATTTGCAAAGACTTCTCTGGATTAAGAAATATGACCATGTTTAAAATTCTATTTTCTCCCATTGATTCTAGGTACAGCTGCTTTAGAAGAAGATGCTCAGATTCTTAAAGTCATTGAAGCATATTGCACAAGTGCCAAAACACGTCAAACACTAAATTCAAGTAAGTTAGAAAGTAGTCATATGGGTAGAAATGGCTATCTAAAACACAAATTACATAGTTTGCAAAAAGGTGTGTTGTGTGTCCTCAGGCCTTTGCAAATAGCAAGCTGGACCTGCAAGAAATAATAACCTGTTTCTGGCTTAACATCAGTGCCAAGTGTTTATGTATTTGATGCCAAGGAGCATGATTAGAGACTGTTATTCTGTCAGTATTTAAAAGTAATCCAGAACAACAGAAACCCAAACTTGTCATGGTTTAAAATTGTACTAGACCTTCACCAGTGAATGAGAGGTGTGTGAACTGAATATCACAGTTAAACAGTATGCTTTTGATTAAATTTCAAGAAGCTGGTTAAGTAGAGATGAGGAATGAAGAAGTCATAATAATTTTGGAGGACTGTATCTTTGTTGTGTTCTATTTAACAAAGACTTTCTCTGTGGAAAAGTAACCTAGACTTATAAAAATTTCTTTCATTTTACTGCCACTAGTTGTTTTTAGTATTAATTACAAATTTTAACCCCGTCTCATAATTTCAGGAGAAATTGTTCTCAGCTATGTGTGTTGCTTAAAGCCATTTTTAGTTTCTCAGATCAATACCTAGCATATTGAAAACCTGTAACGTGCCTCTGGGGTCCTACTTCATTTAATCCAAATCAAGGTTGCCATGTGGAGTTCCTCTGTATTGTAAGTAAAACATTGCACAAAGCAGGGGAGTCCACCAGCATGTGTTCCATTTACACGAGGGAGGAGAAAATGCTGTTGCCTTTGTTCCTTTTTGCACTGTTGAATACTTATTTAATTCAGAGATCCTTGGAACACAGTATAATGATCTTGAAGTACTTGACTGGTTTTGCTGTAGTCAGAAACTAGGACACTGGACATCATAACTTCTTGTCCACTAAAGGTGTTTCAACTTGCAGTATTAATCACTGTTACTGCTGTCTACAGTACTCTGGGCCCATTTTGCTTCCAAGCAAAAGCACTTTATGCTGACAGTTGAGAAGCCTCAAAATGCAATTGCAAACTTAGTTCATGGATGAACTAAGATGGATGACACTAATATGTGTCCTCTTATCACCTTGAAAAGAATGCAACTACTTTGTATTCCTATGTAAGTTAAAGTGGGAATATGGCTGTTGTCAGTATGTACATTTCTACAGACTGTAGAAACTTTTGAAGTAACAGCAAAAGCCTTCCTTTTAATTTTTCTGTCTTGATGAACTGTAGATCTCCAAGGTGATAAAATTAATTACTATTACTATTTTTTTATTAAAACTAATCTATTTTATAGCCCTGTAGTCATTACAGTAGTGTGTTAATTTGGATAAAAGGAAATTAATGTAATCAAAGTTGTGAAGATATACTGTTGTTCCAAACAAAATTAAATAGATGATTGCTGTTTAAATGCCTGAACTATGATCTATTTATTATTTCCAAGGATAATGTGACAAGAAATGGTTGGGAAAACATTTGCACTTGCATAGTAGGGTGTGTGTGCAGATATGAAATGGATATGATTTTTTTTTTGCTTGCCTATTTTTTCCTTTCTATGTATATTTAAGAAATATACATATTGCTGTGGGTATCATTGCATACATCAGAAGTTGACAGTTTTTATTTGCTGTTAGTTGCAGCAAGAAACAAATTTTTTTTTATTGATAAGCACACAGCTGCTTTGTTTGAAAAGAATAGTGTTGTTGTGTAAAACTTTAGATTTCAGAAAACCAGTTTGTAGACTGGAATTGGAAATGGGGAAAGAACCAATCAACCTGGAATTACTTCTGTAGGAGCAGTAGTCAGTGTAGAATAATAGTATGAGAGAGTTGCCTGTCATCCATGAAGTATGCTGTTGTTTTACACACTCCATTTTTACTTCCGTGTTAATATTCTGCCTGTCCCTCACAGCACTCCTGGGCAATTCTCCTACCTGCACCTTAATCCAAAGCCCAAGGGGTGCTGCTTTTGGCAGCATCAGTTCAGCAGAGCTGTGGCACCAGTGCACACTAGTGAGGTGTGGCATTAGAGGTAGCAGAGCAACTTTTTTTCAGTTCTTTGGGTGGGAAAGATGTAGGGTTTAATTTGGGGAGACAGATGGAAGTGAAAGAGCAAAGTTTTACTTTCTTGTGCTTCTTGAATACTGAATTTATTTTGCGTTTCTACTTCAAATGAAGACTTAAAGTCTTTTGCAATATCATGTGTATTGCAAAAGCACACCCACTTACATGTTTCAGTCCTTGGATATTGCCAGGCCTTTACAAATTAAAAAAGGGTCCTTAGCTACGTTAGACCAACTTCCCCAGAGATCTAAAGTATTTAACTGGTAAGATAGATTCAGATAGGGGCGTGTAGGAAGAGGTGTGTGAGGAGTTGGAATGGGCTAGGCAGTATTGCTGTTAACCTCTTGGCCCTGCTGTTCTGTGAGTAAATTTACCACATGGTTTAACAAACAACAAGGGGTACAGGCACAGAAAACCTGTACTTTGGCAGTCCCCTTCAGTGGGTGCAAGATGTTGCTGCTGATTTAGAAGTCAGCAGCCGTGCTATGCATGAGAACCTTTGCTTTTTTTTCCCCTGCATTTTCCTCTTCACGATAGTGACACAAGCACTTCTGTGACTGTGTCGTGAGCTGGTGGGAAAATTACCTGCTTGAAAAAACTAACCCTACAAAAGATTCTTTCATCAGAAGGTGTTTCCTGACCTGGCTCACGAAGCAACTGTACAAAAGATTGTGTCATTACAAGGGAGGGAAAGGATGGAGGTTACAGATATGTGATGGGGAAGGGGCTGTTGCTTTTCACATCAGCACTGGATCATGCTGGCTTACTGTGTTTATTGTTCTGTGCCCAGTCAACCCCTCCCCAGACCAGAACTGACACTGTATTTCAAAAGAACCTAACTTCCTCTTCAAAAAATTTTGTTATTCAAAATTCTCAACTGAGAGTAGAAGCTTAAAAGTCACTTCAAAATTGTATTGTAATGGTTCAAACATTATTATATGCTGAGTGTAATTTATACCTAAACCCCAAACAAATTTGAAAAAAAAAAAAAAAGAAAAAAAAAACAACTTTGGTGCCTTTTTAACAATATTTTCTCTTTTCCTTCTCTTCCCATCACCTTTTTGCTTTTATTTCATGTGTTTGGTTGTGGCTATTCCTTACGTTCTCCTCCTCATCCCACCTCTGCCTATCCACATCCACCATTTCATTTCACCTATACATCCTTAGCATGGCAAGGCACTGACCTGATGCATAATCACGTCTTGGCTGATGATGACCAATCAAGTCTAGACTCCTTGGGTCGTCGCAGTAGTCTTTCTCGTTTGGAGCCTTCAGACCTCTCAGAAGACTCTGACTATGACAGTATATGGACAGCCCATAGTTACAGAATGGGGTCTACATCTCGTAAGAGCTGTTGCTCATATATCTCTCACCAGAACTAATGCACTTCTGAGCTTTTTCTTAACAAATGCTTGTTGTATCACAGCCTGCTTTTCTTAGATGTTTTCTTGCTGTTCCTTGTCTCTTTAATGTGATATTTTAACAACTTCTGAGGGAGCTCCTGAAACTTCAGTTATACCTGGTGGATGGCTCTATTGCCAATTCAATACACATACAAATAAGTCTTTCTAAAAAGTGTATATCCTGTTAAGGATGCTATTTCTTGAGGGCTTTTTTAACTGACATGTTAATTTGTAGCTCTGAATGGTCTTTTTTTTTCTTTTGACTTGGTCAGTGTAGTAACAGGTCCTTTGTTTCCTTTTTTATTTTAGATACAGCACATTTTTATATTTTGTACTGAAACCATACTGGTTGTGAGCTGAGTGCCAGCTATATGGAAATACCTTAGTGGTAGTGGTTGCATTTTCTACATATTATTAACAAAATACAAAGCTGGTAGAGTAAGAAAAATGCAGCTTAAAAATAAGCAGTACAAGAGCTGTAAAATCATTCAGATATTCACGTATCTGGCCTATTTGTTTGGAAGAGCATTTGCTAATCCATAAAAAATTCTGGTTTTATGGTGCTGTCTTTTCCTCATTGCTTAAAACGTTTATATGAAGGACCTCACTGCTCTCCCCCCACCCCAGTCTGGCAATTGTCATGAAAACCTGGCAGTCCATGCTCATTACATGCAGTGTTTTGATAATCTCATGTTACCTGTGGTCATACTGTCACTTTACTGTATGCAGTAGCGTGGCAGAAAGCAGGGTTTAGATGTTTACTTGCCTGTTAAAATACACAGCTGCCAACTCTCAATTGACCATTCTTCTTCAAAAGATGAGATGAAAATGGTTCCCCTGATGGAGGCTCCAGTGTTCAGCATCTGAAACTCTAGGTACAACTGTGATCAAATTGGCTTGTTTGAAGTTCTGAATAATAGAATGCTTGGCTTTTGGGTTGTACTGTTTGGAGCATGTCCATGACAGATTTTGTGTCTTGTAACTTCTCTCATGAGCAGGTTTGTTTTCACAGCAGCTCTTCACTTACAGTCGTGTTGGCTTTTCAGAGAACTGTGACATGCTGTGCACAGCTGAAGGTCTCAAACCTGCACCAGGGGCACTGCTGGGGTGAAGTGTGTGTGTATGTGTTCTGTCTTGTTGCTAAAGTAATTGGCATCAAAACAAAAATTACATGTTTTCTAAGTCTTTTTTAGCTTAGGGAAAAGTATGATGAAAGTGATGAGAGATCAGAAACACTTCTCAGTTTCACTAGGGTTCCCAAGTGCAACTCCCTTATCCCTTTTCACATAAGCATGTTATCCAGAGTTCAGATATTACTATATGAACAAGTTCAGAATAATCATGATGTAATTAACTGCAGCCTGGGAACTTGATCATACTGTTTAGAAGATAATCAATACCTTTCTGCAGGTTACATGATCAGAAAGTTAGTAATTGCTAGTAATTGCTAGTAATAGGCATGCATGGTTCCAGAAGGTGGTCATTGTGGACAAGATATTTCAAAGCAGCCCATGTCTTCAGATTTGCATTCAGTCTTGTTTGATGACCTGTTTTATCCTCTCTTACTATTGTTGGCATTCAGTAATGTGACTAACAAAAGCAGTGGTGCTAACTAAGGAGGGTTTTCAGGGCTATGTTTTACTACTGGTCATATATTTAAGTAATGACCAGGAACTTCTGTATGTTGAATCTTTTTTAAATGGAGGAGTGTTGCTTAGAGAAACGAGATAAGTATGTGTGCTCCATGCCATTTCACAGTGCATTTGTAACACACTTCACTCCCTTCTTCCTTTCAATCAGTTTTTGTTTTGTTTGTTTTTGTTGGTTTTGGGGTTTTTTTAACATATATAGAAAGTATGGATTTTTGCCCTGTTTCTTATGCTGTGGTGTTCTAGTTGAATAATGTTTTCTGCACTGGATAAATGATAATTCCTTTATGTCTGTTTCATGTTATATAGTGTAAATATGAGTTTGTAATACACTTGTTGCACTTGAAATTTCCTTATCACACAGAAAGGTTTGCTATTCAGATATGAAGATTTTACTGACTTTATATTCACCAAAGCTTTGACAGTTTACCACCATTAATTATTGTAGCATTTAAGTCATTAAGTATTATCATAATTAGGATCTCTCATATTGTCTATCCTCATATTAACATCATAGCACATTTAAAACCATTCTATGTCTTCAGTGTTACTGGCTGTAAGCTATTGTGAACTGATCGGGAGTATTAATGCAAAATGCTTAAAACAAACAAACAGAAAAGGCAAATGTGGAAATGGTGGTATTCAGTCCGAAGGTTCAGTGTTTCTGTTTTTGTGGAACTTCAGTCATGGTAATAACAGTACCTTATGTTTATGCAATTCTGTAAATTGTATGTGTACAGTTACAAATACACTGGAAGGATGGAGAATCTGAATTGGAAGGTAGGTTCAAGCCATTGTCAGCCCCTCTTCACATGGCTTATGCAGTGTTTCCATAAATTAGTATTTGCCATAAATTGAAACCAACCGATATTAATTGGGTGTTTTGCATAATCTTGCCAAAACACAGTAATGTGTATATAGTGACGTAAAACATAGAAAAAATAATATATATTGTGCACTTCATTTGTGAATGGGAGAAGCCATCTTTAGTAGGTGACTGCCTTTTGAAAATGCAAAATGGATGTATATCTGAATGTTGCATTGTACTGTACAGTATGCATATTGTTTGTGGTTGCATATATCAATTAAGTGTTTTGTTTTCTATAAAAAGAACATCTGTTATGTACAGTTGAAATAAATTTTCCATTTGCTAGACTGTGACTTTAATATTTAATTATTACACAGGGGAAAGGACAGCATAACTTGTAACTTAACACATTCTCTTCTCCTCATGCCTCCTTTCTCTTCCTTCCTTCTTCCCAGAGGAATCAAATGCTGAAGTGAAAGACCTTTTTTGACATAACTGTGTAATCTTTGTTTAATGTAGTTGACACCTACAAGAAATTCAATGTAATGTGAAGTATGTATTCTTCTATATCTTCTCTTTTTTAAATAACATCTACAGAATGTTTCTCTGCTGCCTCCCTTTCCCCTTAAATTGATTTTATTTTCTTCTTTTTTTGGTTTGGGTTTTTTTTTTTTTTTGGATTGTTGTATTGTCCATAAAAACACTGGCTTAATTACTGAAACAATCTAAAACCTCCTCTGCAGGTCCTGTTACCAGACTAAAAATTTATGAATATGCTAATCGTTTAAATAACTTACGTTTCCAAGATTTAATATTACAATGTTTCTCTTTTTAAAGTAAGAGTTACCTTTAGTCTTTCTACTTAAAAGATGCTCATATATGAGTGAATTTAAATAAAATTATAAGCTAATATACATGCTAAAATGTTTACATCAGTATAAATGAAATGATCGCTTCTTTCTATTAGGAGGTCATAACATTATTTTGCTATGATTGTAGCAATTCTAGTTTTAGTCCTGCAGCCCTCTGGCTGGAAGTTTTCATGTTGGTTAGTGAAATACAGGAAGTTTAGTGGGATGGCTCTTTATAAATGTTGTCTCAGAAATATCTCTCTTCTTCAGATGGTGTATCTGTCTGTTTAAACTATGCATTCTCTTCTCATGTGACTAACACTTGCATACAAAGTTGTGTTTTGGTCCACTTTGATTATTTCCACTTTACTCATCAAAGCATATTGCTATAAACTGCCCAGATCAATCATCTGAGTCATGTGGAGTTTTTTCCTGTTTGTGTGTCACTGTTAGTTAAACAAAAAACTACTTCATGCCCAAACCTTTTTTATTATTCCCAAGAATTTGCAAACAGTGGTGTATTTTATACAGTGAACTAAAGTTTAGTCTGATATTTGGATTCTGATTTGTTTTTTTCTGTACAAAGATATTAAAGGGCATCCTTTTGATTTTGGCAGATCTGTAGCATGAAGGATTGTTTTTTTCCAATAATTAAATCTCAACACACACAGACTCTGGGAGCACCATTTTTAGGATTACTTTTATTAGGACCTCATGAAAAATTCATAAAGAAAGAGGGTTAATTTGACAGATCTGCTCATCCACTTCAACATCCTTAATATAACAAATGAAATGTTGAAAGTGACAGGTAATTTATTTTTTTTTTGTCTGACGTTTACTTCAGTAGGAAGTGTACACGACTGTACATGCCAGTGGCTAATGGTATATCTAAACAGTTTTATATGCACACACTTGATTTTTCAGTGGCAAGTCATGCCTCTGTCTTTGAAACTCAAGCAAATTCAATTTCTGAGAGCTTCTTAGCTTGCAAAGAGGATGTAATAAAGTAGGTGAAAAACAGAATTATATATTTACAAGTACTGTTGCTAATTTTACCTTTATCCCTGTCTTGTTCCCCTTCTTACCTGTCCTAATCATGGTAAAGGTATGAAGAAGTGAAGAAAAGAGCAATACTTAAAAGCTGTGCAACAGAGAAATTGCTGATGACCTCAGATTATGCTGTGCAGTTCTTGAAATTAACAACTATCACCACAGATCTAACTTCCATAGCTTAAATTAGGACACTCAGTCTTCTATGACTTTGAGCCATCTCCTCCAATTGGCCAGCTGGAGGAAGGAAAACTGTTCTTGATTAACTGGAGAGAGCTGGCTTTCAACTGAGGCCTTGAAGTTAGCTGCTTTAAGTAGGTGATGTGAATACCCACCTCCATTTTACTGTTGGCCTCAATGGTTCTTGGACAGACAAGGTCTTTGAACATAGGCAGAGACTTAATATCCGGTTAAAGTGAAAAGGTATCTGAATTCCATCCCCCTTTTCTTATCTCCCTCCTGCAAAACTTCTGGACTCCCTTCACATGTGTCTGCTAAATGATTCAAACAAAGGACCAGACTGTTTACCAGTACGGCTCCTTCTGAAGCTTGTCTTCTGTTAGCTTGTTAAGGTCCCTCCCAACCCAAACATTCTGTGCTTCTGTATCAACCATTTACCTGTAAAGGAGAGGGAATGAAAGGCTGGGGTTGTGAGTTATGATTGCAAACAGACGTCACTGAGAACCTCTGTGGCATTCAATCTCTCTGTAGTATCTTCCTGTTTTGGTGTTAAGACCATACTCCAGGGCTAGGAGTGACATTCTACCTGTTTCAGGCAGGTATAAAGTGAACTTCTGTCATGAAGTCTTTCAGCCATGTAAATATCAAAACTGGTTTCAGCTTTCCTTTTTTTCCAGAAATGCTCAGAACTGCTTGCTTGTTTTTGGCTGATTGATTCGGCTGGAAAGGACATCAGACACTGAAAACTGAAAGCAGGGGGCTGTTACCCACAGGCTTATTCTTGTATTTCAGGTGTTGCACCACATTATGCAGGGGGTGTTGCTAAGGTCTGTAGCCCTGATCTGAATGCTGGGTGGGCTGTGTTGTTACTGGCTTTAATCTGGAGGCTAAATTTGCTAACTTATAATTTAGGGCAGAGTATTGTCAAAAAGCATTGTAATTCTTTATTCTCCATTCTAGGACAGAGAGGTATTGATATTGAATAGATACCTTTATTTTTGTGATGGAATTTAATTGATGGAAACTTAGTTGAATCTTGATTATAGTGGTCAGTTATTTACCTTAATTATTCAACAGATTTCTAAACAGTGGGGTTGTTCTTCCAAGACCCTGGATTTAGGAGTTCCCCATTGACAAGTTATGGCAACTTACTTGGCCTTAATATTTGTTCATTATTCTTGAAGTAATTGTTTGAGTTTGCCAAATGTCCTTTCTTCTCCGATCTACCTTACTTCCCCCAATACCCCTCCAGCCTGCCCCCCCCCCAAAAAAAAAGAAAACCAAATGAAACCCTGTTTTGTACAGCTTGGGGTAGGAGATGCCCATCTTTAAAAAAAACCCACAAAACTGAACAAACCCAAAACCGTCCAACTAGTACTTTTGGTTATATTGTCTCAAAGTGATTTAGGGACAGAGTTGTTAGAAGTCAATTTAAATATAATCGTTTGGCCTGTTTGACTTTGAATGAGACCAAGTAATGTCTGTCAATAAAATTCGGATACTTGGATGCTTAGGCTTGAGGGATGGTGTGACAAAGTGAAGTAACTTGATTCTTCTGCCCTACTTCATGAAAATGTGGAGTATGTCTCAAAGGTGTTTGGAATTATCTGAGCTGCAGGAACTTCCTAGACCATGCTTTTAGTACAACACGATGTGAAGTACCCACTGTACTGTAACACAACGCTCTCTTCATGTCCTAAAGCTGTAGCTTTTGTGGATAGAAATGGTTACACAGAGAATAGGCATAAAGGTGGAGGCACAAGGTGCAATTCGGGGAATATTCTTGAGTGCCAGTGATGAGGTGGCTCTGCTTGAAGTTACTTCTAGATATGTAATTGCCAGAAAATGCGTGTTAAAAAAAGAAAAGCTGCTGACATAAATGGTGCATAAAAGCAGGATGGTGAAATAGCTTCTTTCTGTCTTTAGAACTTGACATCTCAAGTCTGTTACTGTGCACATACTCATTTGATTACAGGGTCCTTTGTGACAGGCTAGATACACTGTGTGTTTGTACCTGTGATACTCAGTAAGCACTTGTGGGGTTTAGGAAGAGAAGGTCAACAACAATAAAGAAAAACCCACTGAAGCTCACAAAAGCAAACCAAGATTAAGGAGCAAGTGTGTGGGTTTTTGCATAAGTACAAACTGTGAGAGCAGCAAAGATCTGAAATACAAGTAAGAGTTGTATGACTGAGGGTATTGGAGCAATGAAGCCAAGAGTGATATCTTGAGTTCCATGGTAGTTAATGTTTTATGGCACAGGAAGGTCAGTGTTCACAGTAGCAGTTTTCCATTGTGTATATACGTGTAGCATGAGGTTTCCTTGTGTGTATAATATTAGTTAACTACTTTCTATGTCTCGGCAATATTAAATGTTTGCTGTGCTCTGCCATACATACATCAGGATATGCTGATGTAGATGTCTCTTTTACATGCATGTGTTTGTATAACATGTATGGGACGTTTTTGTTTCCAAGCTGTCTACTCCACACTATTTCTGCTTTGCAAGGACCCCTGCTACTCTGCCCAGGCAGACAGTTGGATGCAGCTCTGTACAGAGAGAATGATAATGCATTCTCCTTTTGTTTGAAGGGAGTCAGTCAGGGGTGAGAAATGTGTGACAGTTCTGTTCCTTTGGTCAGTGTCTCCCTTGGCGTGTGCTGGGCTGAGGTGCTCCACCTTGATACAGAGACAGAATGTAGTGATCCGGTAGCAGCTGCTGCCAACTAATTCCTAATATAACGTTTAACTCAGTGTTGTGTGTTACCTGTTAGGGTAATAAAGCAGAGCAGTAACCAGTTAACTGAAATAAACATGAGACAGCTTTTTACAATTAGAGATTGACAGCACAAACAGGGAAGTGGCCTTGAGTTCCTTGCCGAGTTTGGATACGTTTGTTTTAGAGGTTGTTTCTTCCTGGGAAATAAGTGGGAGTGGAAGTGTATTAACCCTTAAAAGATTTCTTCACTGCATAAGAACTTACAACTTTCAAGGACAAGATTCTTTTTCAAATCTTCAGTTATCTTTATTCCATATAATTTTGACAATCACATACTGATACATTAGATCTTTACTGTAAGCTTAAGGAAACTGTTTTCTTCATTAGACATTTGTCATTGTTTGCTAAAATAGTTTAAATAGTTTTAACGCATAGAGCTAAGTCTCTACAAAATCATTGCTCAAAACTCAGGACTACAGCTGTTTGGGAAGTTAGTATTTTGTAATGACTGTGATTTATTCCATTTTTTATTTGTTTAGGTTATATATTTTATCATGAACCATAAAAGAAAAGAACTGTTATCACAAAGCAGCTGTTCAGCAACTGATTTCTCTGGACAGGCCTATGCTCTGTAATACCAGATTATCAGTTCAAAGTGGATGAGATGTTCCTCGTTAATGAAAGTTCATTAAAATGAATTGGTAGGCAAATGTACCCTGTTTGTTAAAACTGATATCTTAGTTAAAATATGCAAGAACTTTAATGCCTTATCTACAGTGTTTGAATTCTGAGTAAATGCTTAGACACCAATTTATTTACAGACCTTCTTAAAAAAAAAACTTGTAATTTGTTGCAGCCTAATTAAATAAAGTTTCTAGAATACATACTTTATGTATGTATGAATGGATGTACATATCTGAGATTAGATTTTTCCAGTCATAACTAATTTTTTCTAATCTGTGTGTTTTACCTTGATGTTATAAATTGTAATGAGTGTGGAAAATGTTTTGAAGATTTTGGAAAGTTCTGAGTTTTTATCATCAAACTGAGGTGCTTTTAAAAACATTTATTAAATATAAAGAGTGTATTTCATTTGGTAGGAATTTATTATAGGACTAAAACGCTATCTGTAAGTGTATTTATGCATGTCATTCACACACACAGAAGTATGGTGCTTATAGTGTTTCAGGGAAAGGGGTTTTAACTTTTGTCCCCTCATTGCTGTCGTTTGATACCACTATTCTGCTCCTCAGTGACAGAGTAATGGGTTTAAAGCTGAACTGTTTCTTATATTTGTATCAGTGTGAGATCAGAATCTGTCCTTGAGGCTCAAATCATGGTTATTTAAACACAGCTATCTCTTTCTCAGTCTGCCATTGTGAATTTGTATAGCTTTTACTGACGGTTGAATAGTGCACTGTTTGTCGAATGGTGTAGCACCCCTGTCGATGACACAGGAGTTGTCAGCAGTGCAGTAGGAGTGTCAAACAATTTTTTGTTTTTTTAAGGCTGTGGTTTCAAATGTAAAAAATGTGTCAGTAATGTCTGTTTGTGGAGGGAAAGGGGAAATGGGAAGTGGCATACCTTGGTTCTGCAGGTGTATCATGCAGTGAATGAAAGAATAATCTTTAAAATGCCCCAACAATGTTTGTGATTTGCTCATTTTGTAATTTATTTTTACAACAGGTTCTCGTAAAGAGTCAGCTCCTCAAGTCCTGCTTCCAGAAGAAGAAAAAATTATTGTAGAAGAAACTAAAAGTAATGGTCAGACTGTTATAGAAGAGAAGTAAGAAAATATTTAATGATTGATAGATTAAAGTAGTGAACTTTTCACTCTTCTTCCTCCTGGCTCCCATTATAATAGTGTGTGTATGGTATGTTTGTAGTAGGGAACAGAGCTGAGTATGCTGCCGGTCCTTTAGTTGGCCTTCATTTAAATATCTGGTTTCTTTGTATATGCTGTGCAACTTACTCCACTCATGTCAAGAAGTAAAATGCTTCACTTAAAAATAATTTTTCCAGGTGCTATCAGATTTCAATATTAAACTGGTGTCATCTTTCTAATTAGTTTGTGGCATTGTTCTACTTTTTTGGTAAGGTGTATGTTGGAAATGAAACTACAGTTTTGTTCTAGAGGGCTGGAATACAGAAACCAGTGTAGGTCTGTAAGTGCTGGAGAGGTGTTTCCTGTCACAGAAGGTGGTAACATGTCCTTGCCTTACTGAATATAAATTGGGATAAGTGATAGGGGTTGTTTGTTTGTTTTTAACACAGGTTTGAAATTAGCAATTAACTGTGGGGTTTTGTTTTATGGGTTGTTTGTTTTTAAATTGCATTTCATTTAGCAGTTTTGTCTAATAATAAATTTGGTCACGTCTTTCTGGAAACTGTTATAACAGATCATGTTCCTTTTTCATTTTAGAAGCCTTGTTGACACAGTATATGCATTAAAGGATGAAGTACAGGAATTAAGACAGGTTGGTAACTTGCTACATTTATAGCAACACGGAGAACAAAAAGATGGAAGGCTTATTGTAAAAACAAATACGGATTGTAAGTTTATTCACTTTGACAGGCATGAACTTGAATTTTGGATTATTTTAAAAGTAAAATATCATTTGAGGAAACGTACCCTCTGTTGCGGTTGTCATCAGTCCTTTGAGAATAGTGTTAAGTATTGTTTCTCTGAGGTGAATTACTAAGCTGTTCTTGGATATTGCAAACTGTGAAATGGCAGAAGCATTAAGCAAATTCAGTTCTCCTGTATCACCAGCAAAGTAAGCTTATAGAGGCTGAGAAATAGTATTTGCTCTAGAATGTATTATTTTAGTAGTATAAGTGTCTAGATCTATTTAGGCCTTTATTAACAATCCTACAGTAACCTGAACATATCTTACAAATCAGTTCTTAAAACCTCTCATTTCCAGAGAGGAGAGTCCTTTTCAGTGCCTATCATGTGACCTTTTTTAAATGAGGGTTTCAAGTTAGCTCTGGGTGCTGCTTTGTCACTTGTTCTAAGTGTCCAAAATGAGATGTTAAAAATACCATCTTCTTGTCAGGACACAGCTTGTTTAAACTATGTTAATGCTGTCACATATAGTCTTTTCTTAATGCACAGGTGAAAAAAGCACTGAATTTTCCTCACTCTCCAGTGTATGAATTTGCTAACTGACCTTAACTAGTCTGACTCAGGAAGTTGGATAGAATTCCTGTGTTAATTAAAAAGGATTTGTATTAAAATTTCTTTAGGTTTTGGGCTATAAACATGAATCCAAATTCTTTGCCCATCTGTAAGCATGCCCAGTATTTCTAAGGTTGTCATGCACGTTCCTTGAAATAGGACAGTTGATGTCTTGCATACTTAAATTCTGCTGGGTTCAACATATAAAGCATGAATATCCCAGGTTGGATGCAAATTTAAAAATACAATTCACGTAATACAAGCAGCAGTAATAGCCCATGAGTACTCCCATGGCCTGACTGCTTTTGTACAAAGAATAAATGTGCAGCCTCACTGAGGCTCTGCACATCTCTGTGACCCTTAATCAGAAAGTCACCTTCACCTGAGCTTCAAGCAATAGCTCTCTTTTCCTGTGCCTTTCCAAACAGATGGTCTTGAGTATCTAACATCTTCCAAAGCCAAGACATATTAAAGCCTTTAAATTCATTTTCTTGGCTTTTGGGACTCTCAGCTTAGAAGCATTTATTGGTCCACTGCTGTGATGCTGCCAACCAGAGAAGTGGCAGAAATAACCTCTGAGCTGGCAGAGTCCCAAGTGAGCAAGGCCTTTATGGATAAAGGCTTTCTGGGACTGCATAGCGCACTGCTTGGTGTAGACACCAGGCTGCGAAGTGGGATCCCTCCCATAGCACCTTCCAGAGGTTACTCATAGCTGTTGCACCACAGGCACTATGCCTGAATAGTACAGGCCTGAATTGGCAGGCCTGTAAATTAAATCTGTACCTACAGGAAAACAATGAAATTTCTGAGTTTCTCAACATACTTGAAGAGGGAATGGAGTTAATGAGGTGACAGACATTGGTTGTGTGTATAGACTAGGGAAGGACAAGCTGGAGAGGAGCCTGAGGGAACTGGTCAAGTGCAAGCTGAATATGAGAGAGCAGTGCCCTGGCAACCGGGAGGGTCAACAGTGTCCTGGGAGGCATCAGACAAAGCATCGCCAGCTGGTCAAAGGAAGTGATTGTTTCACTCTTCCTCTATGCTGGTGCGGCCTCACCTTGAGTATCATGTGCAGTTTTGAACACCACAATTTAAGAAAGACATTAAGCTATTAGAGGGCATCCAAAAGAGGGCCACGAGTATGGTGAAGGGTCTGGAGGGGAAGCCTTATGAGGAGCAACTGAGTTTGTTCAGCCTGGAGGAGACTGAGGGGAGACCTCATTGTGATCTTCAACATCCTCACAAGGGGACTTTGAGGTGCAGGTACTGATCTCTTCACTCTTGTGACCAGTGACAGGACTCAAGGAAATGGCGTGGAGCTGAGTTGAGGTTTAGGTTAGGTATCAGGAAAAGGTTTTTCACCGAGAGTGTGGTTAAGGACTGGAACAGGGTCTTCAGGGGAATGGTCACAGCACCAAGCCTGACAGAGTTCAGGAAGCATTTGGACAGTGCTCTCAGGCACATGGTGTTATGCTTGGGGTGTCCTGCACAGGGCCAGGAGTTGGACTTGGTGATCCCAATGAGTCCCTTCCAACTCAGCATATTCTATGATTCAATGATCCCATCCTGTTTCTGGAAATGTCTGTAAATAAGAGCTGAGGTTGCCCCCCCCAGTGGGACCCCTGAATTGTAGGCCTGCATTTGTTAAACACCAGTAGGCTTGTCTTGGGGCCTTATTTCAGTGTTATGTTCTGGTTGCTTCCCTACTGTTGCCAGCATCACCTTGGCCTGTACAGAATTAAATGGTATAAACATTCCTGTGGATTGGTCAGTAACATCCTTGCAGTCCCGTTGTTCATTTATTTCAATATTGCCTGATGGCACTAAATAGTGAGAACTCTCTTCTTAATGTACAAGCAGAGTGATGGTGTTCCTTGAAATTCAGACTTCTCTTAGACTGCTGGTAGTCATCAATCTGATTTAAAATTTAGTCACAGAAACACTTTCCAGAGAGCGTAATGGTTTTCAGGATACTCTTTTCAACTATTTATGTTTCTAATGAAGCAAGTCAATTTGCATTAAGTTTTAAGAAGCTTTTCTGAGATTGTGAAACTAGTTAAAATCACAGGAGGCTCTTTAAGGAGATATTTAGTCTGCTTATTGTTCCATTTCCTTTCTCCATTAGCAACAAATATATTCTACTCCTCATTGATTAGATTTAAACAGATTCAAGATTACTGGCCATCTGTGACTAGCACTTTTGTTATAAAGGCCCCCTAAGTAAATAGGAAGTAGCTCAGTTTCCATTTTGTGGTTTTTGTTCCACTGAGTGAAATAACTATGTAACTTGAGAGGTTTTAATACAAGTTTTGCTTTTGAACACCTAGTATCTGTTTTACTGAGAAGAACCTTCAGAGTTTGTAATTGACAATGTATGTGTACTAAGAAAAGATCTGTCAAAAGTCCTCAAAACAAACTAGTAATATTTCTATCTCTGTTAAACAGGATAACAAAAAGATGAAGAAATCATTAGAAGAGGAACAAAGAGCTCGCAAGGACTTGGAGAAGCTTGTTAGAAAAGTTCTAAAGAACATGAATGATCCATCTTGGGATGAAACCAACTTATAACTAATTTTTTTCTTTTTTTGTCCCCCCCTTTTTCTTTCTGTTGAAAGACCAGTTGTAAAACTGAGCTGGGAAGCCTTCTGACATTAGTCAGTGTTGCATCAAGAACACTACAAAGCAGGATTTAACTGGATCTAATGATTTCTTCCTCTGAGCATACAGAAACAGTCAAGCCATTTTCTGAAGCAATCTGTACTTTAAGTGTGGAGACCATGGATCCTGAACTCTACTAAACTTAATTTGTTTGCATCTAAATTACCTCATTTGCAGAAAGTGCAGCACCTGACTAAAAGTCCATGTTTTTCAGTGGCTTTTTAATGAAATATATATTTTTCATGTAAATAGCTGTAATTTTGATTGCATATGTGATTGATGTATCAGAGCTGATATGTTTGGGGTTTTTTTCTCGTTATTACAATGGTCACAAGTGTTAGAAATGATGGCAGTACTGTCTTACCTAAGAATGGTATGAATTATGAATTAGTTCCAAATTACCCACTCAACACACATGCAAATTTAAACCTCTGTTTTTCCTATTGACCACTATATTTAAATCATTCACTGTTACTTGTCTGTCCATACATTTTCAAACAGTTTACAATTCCTTAAGAGCAGTATTAAAATACAGAAAATTGTTTATTGACAGTAGAAACAATTTTTAACAAAACTAATGTCCACAACTTACATTCACATACACATATTTGGCAGACTAATCTGTTGTGGTTTGGCCACTAGAAGACTGATGTACTTGCCTGCTTTTTATGACTGAGATTTTTAAGTGTTTGTGTACTACATTTTCTATTGTGCTTAAACATAAAACTGGCTGATAATTTAATGGATCATACTGTTTGTTAAACAAAAAAAAATCAATCTAATCCAGAATTTTGTGAATAAATCGTTGCTATTTATATTTTATGGTCACAGCAGTTAAATTTTAGCTAACCTTTGTGCATAAGACACACAGGCCAGACCAAATTTCATTCAGAACTTTGTTTTTATACCACTATAAGACTCTCTGGAGTTCCCGTACTGTGGAAGCACTCATTTCTTTCCTACCCTATTTTCTCAGCATGTTGCTGTTTCTGTCCTACTAGGATTCGAATGGAAAGAAATATGGAAATAAGATTTTTTTTTCTTTTAAATCATACTGTAATTTTTACTTTGCACTGCTGACAGATTTGAAAATACATAAAGGAACATTAATTCCCAAGTCTGATAGGTGCAATTACTGCAGTTTCTTGTATTTGAAATAGGAGATGCTACATCACTGCAAATGGTGAGCTTCAAATGGAGCACTTAAAATGCTGATCCCATTAAAGCTTTTTTTTTTTCATGGATTTCATCAAACTTTGGGTCCAAGTCCAGATGGTGCAGTTTTCTGAGGGGTTTTTATTCAGCTGACAGTCAGAAGTACAGGTATAGCACAGACCTGAGTTGCACCTTTTGCAATCCTGATTTTCTAGTGCCCTTTAACTCCTGTTAAATGTAATGCTCAGACTTGAGCAAATGTTTATATGAACTTTAGTAAGTTGGAGCAAGGGTGATTAGGGTTGTAAGAACTGTCATGCACATTTTAAATCTATTGGAAAATCTATTTTTAAAGCTATCCACATTTTTCAGCCAAGAACAGCTTTTTAAATAGGAAATTGTCAGTTTTTGCATACTTGTGAAACAATTCTGTGGGAATGGATACTTGATAATCTGAATAGACAAGTTGTCTGTTTTAAAAAGCTGAATATATTTGTAGGTATTTTGTGTTCCTGCAATTTAAAAATGCTTTCCTTTAATCCTAAAGGAGGAGAAAATCAAAAATGTCTACATTATCAGAGTTACATATATTCACAGAACTTTAAACTTATTTTAATTCTCTATACCAAAATCTTTTCTTGATGTTTGCAGTTGCACAAAAGTGTGGACTGGCATTTATATTTATCTTCACATTTAGGAAATACTCTTGCTGAAAGCTAAGTGATACTAAACCATGCAAATTAATAGTATCTTGGCCAAATTTAGATTTGGGAATGCTGATATAATTAGAGTTTTGCTAACATTTTTACTTTCTGACATTCAGGCAAATTTACAGAGTGAACTTTAATTTTCAGCTGAGCATATGCGAAAGGACATTCCAGAGAAAGATATATAAAAGGAAAACACTAACCTTAGCAGTATTTAGCAAATTTACTCAGGAAAAACTTCCATCATGACAATTTGTTTTACCTTGTATTGTGAAGAGTGGTGTTGCTATGTAAATCTGCTGACTCTTAGTGCCTGTGATTATTATAATTTCTGACAGTACCCCTCTACTGACATCTAATGAACATGCCTTAAACACTGGGATTAAGAAGTTGTTAAATACGACCAGGACTTAGGGACTGACTTTATTCAAGGTGGATTGGGATGACTAATTTTCATAAAAAAACACACAAAAAAAAAAAACAGGGAGGGGAGGTAGGAAGAAAACCAACCTAATATTGCAGATAGCTTTTGCCTCTAGTGCAGAGAGCACCTTCAGGCTTTTGGGAACCAAGGAGTAACTGAAGCTTTTTCCATTGACAATTTGTTACACTGTATATAAATTGTAAATGTCACCATGGACCTTCTGAATTGTTGGAAACTTTATATAAGCATGGATAAATGGGGCACTGTTTATTTAACCTATTAAAGGGTTATTTGTTTGCTCTCATCATTTAGGGATGAGGAGATGAAGCCATTTCTTGTCCTATAGATGTGAAGCACTTTCAGTTCTGAACTGTCCAAAATGTAGCATAAGATTTCGCTGTACTATACTGATGTATGTGTGTTTGTCTCACTGTGTCATGACGTCTTAAAGATTGAACAACTGACTGCTTTTGTATAAACCTTCTTAATGTCAATCATTTAGGGAATTTAGAGTGTCTGTTTATGATGTCTGTGGAGAACTCAAATTTAGTTTAGATGTCACAATAATATCCTGATATCGACTACTAAGGCTTTTATGCTACATTGCTGTAATTAAACCATGATTTTTTCCCCTACCCTATGAAGTGTTACATTTCACTTAATATGTGAGCTGTGAGATTAAGAAGGTAAATTGCTTTAATTTTTTGCTTTCTTATAAATAATAACCTCTGCAATAGTTCCTATACTGTCTTGAAAGAGCTTTTTCATGGCCTTTTATAGTAGTAAATTCATGCCTGGAGACAAAACAGGAATGTTTATAGGGCTGAGAAGAAGGATCTTAACTGTTGCACTGAGGAATATTCACTTCTTTGGTAACCTGACCTGCTCAGGTAATGTAAGAAATGGAAGAGATTGAAGATGGAATATAATGAGAGCAAAGAAAGAAAGAAACGCTAGAAACTGCATAAATTAAGTAAAATATTTTCTACACGCATGATTTATCTGAATAGACTTGAAATTTTTGATAAGTGTGCATCGTAGGGACTTTTATGTGATTGGTGCTGCCTGAAATAGGGGAGTGGGATGATTTTTATAGTAGGAAGATGATAGGTATTGCTTTATACTGGATAATGAGATGGGTTAAGGGAAGTGGAGACAGTCATTTGTTTGAAAAGATGGTTTCAGTCTTTGGACAAGGCATTTGAAGGGATTAGTAACTGAGCTTAGGTGTGTGAAATGATATGTTTATTCCAACTTAGTTTAACAAGGAGGTATGCTTAGGAGGAACAGAGGACTATAAGTGTAGTGGTTTATAACTGTTATCAGAAGTCTCATTTTCCTGCTTTTCTCTATATTCATCACTGTACAGACAGGTATTTTCCACAATTTGAAATCATAATTTACTTGTCACCAGAAGTATTTTGGGGATTTTCTTTTTGTGTCTTGTTGTGGTGGGTTGACTATGGCTGGCTGTCAGACCCTCACCCAGCTGCTCTCTTACTCCTTTCCCTCGGAAGGAGATGGGGGAGGGAGTAAGATGGAAAAGCTTGTGCATTGAGATAAAAGGTACTAATTTCTTACCATTTAAAAAGAGTTGGATGGTAAGGAACAAACAAAAACTAAGCCACCTTTCTCCTACCACACTCCTCCTTCTGAGGCTGAACTTTACTCCTTCATTCCTGATCCCCCTATCTTGCCCTCTTCTCCCACCCAGCAGAGCAGGGATATGGCAATGGTGGTTGTGATCTGTCTGTAACAGTTCCTGTTTCCTGCTCCCCTTTCTTCATACTTTTCCCTGCTCCAGTGTTTATCCTCTCCATGGCTTGCAGTCCTTGAAGACTAAATCTGTTCCAATGTGGGTTCATCCCTGTCTACAGTTCCTGTCAGGAGCCTGCCCCAGTGTGGGCTCACTGTGGACTGCAGGTCCTTCAGTGGATCTGCTGTAGCATGGAGTTCTCCCTGGGCTGTGGGGGAAATCCTCCTTTACCATCCTACTTTCTCCATGGGCTGTAGGGGAGCCTTCTCCAGCACCTGCAGCGCCTCGTTCCCCTCCTTCTCTTACCTGAGTGTTCTTGCAATTTTTCCTCACTGCTGCACTGTAAAATAAGTTTTCCTCAAGGCACTACCATTTTGTCTAAGAGGCTTGGCTGTGTCCTGCTTGTCCAGGGGGTATCTAATTTACATCCTGTTGGAACTGCTACACCTCACAGGCTCATAAATTTAGATGCAGAACCTGCTGTTACCCACTTGTAGTGATCACCTTTGCTTGCTGTGATAGGTCATGAGAAAGGAAAGGAAGGAGCATGTAACACTGTCGATTATAGGAATGAGAGGCTTAAAATAGTCAGGGGAGGTGTGCGTGAAATGTGTGTGTGTATCTGTATGTACTTGAGTACCACAGCGCTGATGCTGAAGGGTCCCAGAAATGTGGAGTTTGCACTTTGGAGAAATGGTGAGAGGAAGTTTGAGATGAATTTGCTCTGCAAGGCATGCTTCATCATCTGGAAAAGGGATGTAGGCTTGCCATATTTCACCTTGCATGCTCTGCACTTGAGCTTTCTCTTTAATTCATGTGAGTCAAATGTTATCTTGGAAGGAGAACTGAGCCTGGATTCAGAACTAAATTAACCTCCTGAGCTGTCCATTAATTTAAGTGGCTGCCTTTAAAGCCACTGTCTAGTCCCAAATCTAACTCTTGGGTCCTTAGGACGAAATAAAAGCTGCAGTTAGTGAGTTACTGTGAACTGTGGTGTCAGTTACTTAATGGAAGGTCTTCACAGCCCAAAATTTGTGCAGGTGCTCCCATTAGTTCCTCGGCATTCTCATTGATCTCATTCCCTTTCTCTGTTGAATATGCACAGGCTCTCCCTTATGCATGGCAGAGCTCACTTCTATGTTTTTTTTTTCCTCTGTCCCATCCCCCATTTGTCTGGTTGTGCCGTGTACACCTGCAGGGATATCTGCTGTCTTTCCAATTACCATGGCAGTGCTGAACAGCCTTGGCAAGTAAGGCCCTGTGCACATTTTGCTGTATACTCCTTGTTCTCCTCCGTGTAAGCAGTGAGTCTGATTTTAGGCTGACATTTTAGGCAGTGGACACTGACACAGTGAGAAAACTTTTACCTGCTGCAATGCACCCATCCCAGAAGTGTGGCATGCCCTATGAGGCACTTGGGATATCAGACTCAGAATATCTCGAGTTGGACGAGACACATTGAGTCCAACTCTCTGCTTCTTGCAGGACTACCTAAAACTAAACCATATGACTAAGAGCATTGTTCAGATGCTCCTTGAATTCTGACAGGCTTGGTGCTGAGGGGAACCTGTTCCAGTGATTGACCACCCACCCTCTCAGTGAAGACCGTTGTGTTTTAACCCTAGCTGGCAACTAAGTGCCACGCAGCTGCTCACTCCCCACCACCCCTACCCCGTGTTGGGGAGGAGAACTGGAAAGAAAAGGTAGGCCTCATGGGCTAAGATAAGAACAATTTAATAATTGAAACAAAATATTTTGATAATAATTATACTAAATATTGTAATAATAGTCATAATAATAACAACTGTAATTATAAAAGTGATGGACAATACAACTGCTCATCTCCAGATGCCCAGCTTGTCCCCAAGCAGCAATTGTCCTCTTCCAGGTAACACCTCCAGTTTATATACTAGGCATGACATTCTGTGGTATGGAATATCCCTTTGACCAGTTTGGGTCACCTGTCCTGGCCATGCTTCCTCACAGCTTGTGCATCTGCTCACTGGCAGAGCGTGAGACAAAAGTTCCTGACAGGGTAAGCACTACTTAGCATCAACCAAAACATCAATGTGTTATCAGCATTATTTTCATACTGAATCCAAAACACAGCACTGTACTAGCTACTAAGAGTAAAACTAACTCTCTCCCAGTTGAAACTGGGACAAACTTTTTCCTAATGTCCATTCTGATGTCATACATAAGCCTGGTGAGATTCCCCAAACAATTTATTTTTTCTTAGCCAATGTATCACTCAGGCCTTGCTAGCCATCTCTTACCAGTCAAGCAGCCTATGATAGCTGTGTGTTTGCTGTAGACATAAAGGAACAAAACAGAAATAGCATGTTTTTACGGTATTTTTCCAGCAGGGGAGTGTGTTAGCTTCTGCTTTGTCAGAAACTACTCAGTTTCCCTGAATTTGTTAGTATTTGTATTTTTGTATGCTTTTAAAACCAACTAGAGTTAGATTTTTCTGTATTCTGGAGCTGCTTTTCAAGCTCCAGGAAATACAGTCTATTAACCTTTTGTTCTATACAACAAAAGTAGACAGTCACAGTTCAAAGTGTTCATGTAGCATTTGAACCCAGCTGTGTGCATAGGATTTGTATGGTTTTTTTAGCATTTCCCCATGGCACGCGTGACTTACCATAGCGTTTATGCATTCAGCATCACAAGGGCTCTTTCAGCACAATGCGATGTGGAGATAACACAGGATCAAGTTTATTGTGAGGCAAAACTAAGCAAGGGATTTGGTTGTGATCACTAACTCTTTTAATCTCTGGCCTTACTCTACTGCAGACAGAATTTCAGAGGAACTGAGAAAAATCCAGTGCTACAAGACTGGTTTAATAGTTCCCACTTGAATTCTCCATTCTGAGACTGAGTGGAGAAAACACTGGGATGATGCAATGCGTTGTCCTCCATCCACTGCACTCTCTCATCACTGTCTTACAAGTAAGATTTCTGCTTAGAATTTATGTTACAGGACTGTTAACAGTGCTAAGAAGGGGGAGAGCAGTGCATTGAGGGAGCACAGTGACTACCTTGGACTTGAAGCCAAACATTTGAAAATACAGGTTCAAGAAAGTGCCCCTGCCCTGGCCACCAGATCTTCAGCAAGATTTCTGCCTCAGCATCCAGACCTGGTTCCATGTATCCGAGGGCTGTCTCACTGACCATCTTTATCACTTCAATGCAAGAAATGACTGAACATTTCCATGCATTTCAATGTATTTCCTGCTAGCAGGAAAGCCCTTGATTAAAAGAAAAAGCATTCTATTATCCGGCTCTTCTGAATGGCTTCCTGCTCGTCAAGAGCATCAGATTTTATCAATGTCCACCATGAAATACCTAACATGAAGAGTTCTGCCTTCTGCGAGGCTGTAGATCAGGAGCTCAGATGCATCTGTGTGAGAGGCACTGCTGTATGTCAGGAGGAAAAGTTATTTCTACCTAAATCATTGTACATGCCTGTAAGGCTAGATACATCTGCACAGCCCTGTGTGGCGTGTGCCAGGAGGATTCTTCTGGGCAGAGACTTTTAGAGGCTAGTTCAACCACCCTGTAGAAACAAGTCATCCTTTGTGCTGCACTCCAAACTAAAAGGATGGCATCAGCTGGTTTGCGTGCAGGTAAATTAGGCAGCCTTATGCAAAGGTGCACTATGAGGGGGGACATGATGAAGGAAACGGGGAGCTATGACGTAGGGCTGAGTTCTGAGGTGAGAAAACCACAGTGAAAACGCTCCTTTCTCGGTATACTAATAGGGGAAGTACTGACATGCTCCTTCACCAAGGCAGCGTGTCCTGTGTGCTATGCACACTGTGAGGAACAGTAGTGTGAAAACGTGAGTGGGAAGTGACAGACAAGTTGTTGCTGGCA